TGAGGAAGGAAGGTTGCAGGTTCATGTGTGTCATGGTGTACATGTGGAGGTCAGAGAACAACCTACCTCTGGCATCCTTTCTCATCTTCTACCTTGTTTGAGACAGGGTCTCCATAATGGTTCACTGCTATATATGGGAAAGTCGCTGGCCCATTCTTCTACCTGGGCATTCTTCTACCTCTGCCTCCCTCTCACTTAGGAGCACTAGAGCTACAGATACACGCTGTATGCCCAGCTTTATGTAACCTCTAGGGGTTCAAACCTGGGTCCTCATACTTGTAGAACAAGCACATTACCCACTGGGCTACCTCCCAATCCCTCCCGCCTGCCTTTTTAACTGTAGAAACTAACACGGGGCCTGGTATCAAAAATGGTTATGTGAACCTGAACACATTTAAGAACTGGAAAAATAACAGTTGTATTGTTTTTTTATGGATTAAAAAAAAAGAAGAAGAAGGTGTGATGTGATCTTCTGGGAGCCAGATGGGAGAGGTCAAGCTCACTGAAGCATCCACATTTCACGTTGTGAAGTGTGACTGTCATCAGGCAGCTCAAGTTCCTGCCCCTGGGCTGACAAGAGGGTGTCCACAGAATCAATCTCACTCATTCACAGACACAAGGAAAGACTAGGTCTTTAATTAAATGCAAGAGCCAAAGTAGAACTAGGTGGCTGGTTGCAAATTCAAGGTGAAACACGTGGATGGGAAGGTCTCCATGCCAGAGGCCCAGGGCATCAGTTTGTTTATATGGTCATAATTTTTATAAATTTATAACTTCCTTCCTTGAACTTATAGGCATTTTTCTTTTTAATAATTGTACTATAATTTTCCCACACTTGACATTTTTTTTTAATCCTCTGCTGAGGAAACACTGCATGAGATAAATAAATTAGTTCATTGGCTCATTAAATTGCACAAACAACACTAACATGGGCCCTTTGTCATTTTGGACAGGAATGTCATCTAGAAAGACAGAGATGAGCAGGCCTGAGCTGACCAGTTTGTGGCTCTTGGAGCTACCTACATCTTTGTATGGTTTCTGACATCATCCGCCCAGTGTAATCCATTAAAAAATCAGGACTCCCCCATTTTACCCAACCCTACCTCCAACCTGTGACATTATCACCCCTCAGATACAGTTGTGAATTGGGCAGGTCAAAGCAGCCCCTTATAACTTCAAACTACATGATCCACTTAGTAAACACACGTATCACTGTAGACACAGGAGAGTGATGCCCCTAGAGAAGTGGAAAACTTTGAAAGAGGCTTCAGGTCTCTCTAAACCCCGGTCCAGTCATGTGGTCTCGAGGTGGCTTCCATTTCTAAAGAGATGATCACTCTTCCTCCCCCCGATCAGCACTAATTCAGTGAATCGTATCTATTGCTTATGTAAAAGAAAGCCCGGTGGGAAGTGTAATGGCTGCTGTCCTTCTGTTATTTGGAGAATCCCTGTATCTGTGTATCTGTGCTTGGTGCTGAGCTCCTTGTAGAAAGGCACCTTTATTACTGATGCTCACCCAGGCAGAACCAACCAAGCTGGCCAAATGACTTCTCTGCTTCACCTGGCTGTCAGATAGGGGTCACCTGCTCCTTGATTGGCACGGCAGCATGTAAGTCCAAACATGTTCCCTAAGACATGGGTCTTCATAGCAAAGGATGTCAGGGAACTTACTGTGTTGTTCCCTGGAAACAAAAGGTGTCAAAGTGAGATGCAACTGAATAGTCAGGAAAATATGTTAGTTTCTGTCTTCCCCCATCCCCAGGGAGATGAAGAAGGGTGGTAGCTAAGGTTTTCTAATGATCTGAGAGGGTAGTAAAGTTACTATTTGATAGATCCTGATGACATACTGGATTCAGGAAGACTTGGGTAGGAATCGCAGCTTTGTCACATACCAGCTCTGAGGGCTTCTGGGCCTCCATGTTGACATCTTTACTATAGAGTGTTTAAGAGAAACAAATTAGACATCTGTTTGAGGTATTTGACAATACTTCTCGGTGCTTTTATAAGTTCCTAAGGCCTTCTTGTAAATTCTTGGGAATTCTCCAAAACTCATGACAAGGAACTTCAGAGAGAGAGGGTGTATGCTGTAGTGGGTGATGGTCCAGCATCAGAAGAGTTGCCAAACTCTTGTCTGACACAATGGTGGAGTAAGCCACCTAAGTCAGGACAGTGTATGAGCATTTTAAAGTAGATGGTAAATACTGTCTGTATATTGAATTTCTACATTCTCAGAGGGGGATGGTTCCAAAGACACCCTAAATCTAAGATACATCCATTCTGGTTGACTACCGAATATCTGTTGTGGCTTTGGCAATTTTTCAAAAGTACCTTTTGTCAGAGCCTCACTGCATTTTGCTGTAAAGTAAACCATCCTAGGGTCAGTGGCATAGAAACACTGGCTTCTTACTTCTAAGTGAGCAAGGAAGCTGAAGTTGGGTTGCCTAAGATAGGAAGTTATTCACTGAGGATGTCTCACCTCATTCTTGGGACATCAACTATCTAAGGTTGAGCGCTGGCATGCACAAGCACCTGGTGAGTGCAAGTCACACTGATTGAGACATTAACTATCTAAGGTTGAGTGCTGGCATGCACAGGTACCTGGTGAGCACATGTCACACTGCATTCAGGAAAGACAGCCAGGTGAGTCTCATGACGAAAGGTCAATGGGTAGATTGTATGTCCGTGGTGAAGCCAAAGAAGGGACTATAGTGTATCAATACTGCAGCAGAATCAGGCATCAGGACCAGCAATTCCTTCTCCATCCTTGTGAGGCTGTAAATGGCTCAGCATGGAATGCCCTTTACAGTCCAATGAGGAATTGGCAATTGGCAGAACTTTTGTTACTGCCTTCCCTCCCTCAGCCCTCCCCCCAGTCTCACTCTGTAGCCTGGCTGGCCTTGAACTCATGATGCTTTCCTCTCTACTTCTCTAGTGCTGGGATTACAGGCATATGCAACCATACCCAGCAAGACTGGTCTTTTGATCTGGCTATTACTTCTAATGAACAATACACTTCTTGGTATATTGTGGACCAACATAATGAGATCCGTGTGTCTTTAGTAAACATATCCTTCTGAGATTCCATCACATGGTGAAGCAACTGAGCAGAGGAAAAAGAAGCCATGGGGAACTCCTCTGTGCAGCCAGTTCTTCCCATTTGGCCCACAGTGGCAGAGACCGAATATTATTACCATCTAATGCCTACTCAGAAGTCTAACTGAATTGAATTATTGGCTTCCCACCAATCCTCAAAGGTGTTTCTGGTTTTTTCACAGCAACCATCAAAGTAACCGATGCCTCTGGTTTCAAACAGCACGCTAGATCAAACGCATAGATTACTTTTAAAATGTGACCATTTTTCGAGCAGTAGCTCTTCTTGGCCGTTGATGAGTGATACTCAGGGTGGTTATTTGGCCGAGGTTAGCATAGACTGGGGCAGTAGCTGAGATGGATAATGGAAATGGGAATTAGATTCCTTCTTAGACTGTAATTAAATAGAGCATAGATTATCAGGCTGCCTATCCTGCCTGTGAGATACTCACTTTGAAGGGTCAGTGCCTTGGGATTCTTTCTCAGTCTCTCAGTCTCTCATTCATTCATTCATTCATTCATTCATTCATTCATTCATTCATGTATTTATTTAGTGATGTTTGGGATAGGATACTGGGGATTTTACATTCTAGACAAGTATTCTGCCTTGGAGCCGTATCCTCAGCCCCTCTTTCTCAGTACTTTTGCAGGAAAAACAAGAAATCCTTAGGGAAGGGTGGCTTTCACACTTGGCTAGTTTTCTGTGACTCCTGTTGTGAAGCAGAATAGCTGAGGGTTAAAACCCGAGCCCTGGAGTCTACAACTAGATTCTAACTTGGCTCTGCAGCTGGGCATCTGCAGGACCCAGTGACAGCTGTGACAGTCCTTAGCCTCTGCCATAGCCATTGGTATTGACTACAGATGTTCAGTTCCCCACTCCTGGCAACCAGAAGATATGGCACCCTGGGTTCTGGCTTAGATGTCTAGTTCTAATCAAAGACTTGTGAGCAAGTGCATTCTATGTGTGTTGAAGATAATGTATTCTGAATACCTGGTAGGCATTCTTCCCATCTCAATGGTGGCAGTGATACCACAGCATGCCCTAACTTTGCATCTAACAACACATGTATTGCTACCAAAGCAATTACTAGTCCCATGTCTTTGAGAAACTCAGTTACCCTTGTAATGCAATCATAGAATGTGGAACTCAAGGAAAGTAAGTTATAGCTTAAGTTTCTGTCTTTAAAATTATGTGATCCCAATAAGGACTTACTCAGAGAATTCATCCCAAGATATTTCTATTGGTTATGAAATCAAACTATATCAATCATACATGCTAGCCTCTCCTAGCTGGCCCACTCCCCGAATAAAAAGATCCATATCCATTTTACAAACGTTCCAATATCCAATTCTAGACATTTCTGCCCAGGAAATTACTTTGGCTTATGAATCCATGCCTACAGATATGTGTCCACCTTAGCCGATCACTCTCCTGCTGTGTTTCCACCAACAGGAAACAGAGCTGCTGCCCACTGTGGTCTTTCTCCCAAAGGCATTCCTGCCTGAACTTCCCAATGACTGGTTTGTGTTGACATTTTAGGATGAACCTTAGGAAGCTACCATTTCCTAGGAGTCAAATATGGTAGTTTTCAATGATATAAATTTACTTTGAGAACGAGGCGAAATCTCATCACACACACATTGATGTTCATGTTGGATCCTAGCAAGGTCCCCAACATATATCACGTCTCCCTTCCTCTCTTGGTTCACTAAGGGTTTATCCCTATAGAACATGCTCTGACCTCCCCATACGCAGCAGACACTGATACTGTTTCCTGACTGGCTGGGGCTTTCCCTGGTGCCTGTTATTAGCACTTGTGTTAGACACACTGGGACTATTTGATGAAGGCTTCCTTTCTTACAACTGTGCAAGAAAACAACTAACACCTCTTTTCTTCAACCTCTTTCAGATCGAGGACATCATCACAAAGATGCAAGATGACAAGGCGGGGGGCGTGCCCATCAGAACAGTTAAGAGCTTTCTCTCCAAAATCCCCAGTGTCGTCACAGGTAACATATCCTCAGAAGGTGCCAGTGACAACCGGTATGACTAATAAAGAGTTACGTGGTTTGGATAGTGATGTGGGGGTGCCTAGGGATCTGAAGAGTAACATGAAGTCCTCTGAGGAGCTTGACTCAAAGCCCCTCCTAGTCTTGGTTTTTAGTAAAAGCCTACCCTTTGCACATCATCAAGAACCACTTTAGTGTTAGGAGCCTTTCAAGAGTGTGTAGCTACTGTGTCTGGGAGTAGATGAGCTGTCAGGTTAACAATGTGGCCCTTGGCTATAAACAGTTGCAGACGTGCTCATAAACATTAAGCAGGCTTCATTTTGTTGGGGCTTGCTTGTTTGTTTGCTTCATCTGGGACATGATTTTACTATGTAACTCAGGCTTGACCTTGAAATTGTGATCTACCTGCCTCTGTCTCCCAGTGCTGGGATAACACGTACCACGATGCCTAGGTCCATTTAAGCACATTTAAAGGAAAGTTTTGTGTCTTAAGAAATGTCCAAATTCCAAGCCTGACTGCATAGGGGTTGGTGTCAAAAGTATCCCCTCTCCAGGAAAAAGACATCGGGATGGGTATGGCCCCCATGCCTCACTGGACAATGACAGGGGGACCAGAGCCATTACAAGGTCCCCTTCAATTACTGGAGGTCAGGCCTCTATCCCTGCCTTCACAAGATTAGAATTGCCACAGCCCTTCTATACTTAGAGAAGGGAGGAGATGTCAGGGGCAGCCCTGCTTATACACTGAAGGCCTAAAATCAGCTATAGGCCTGTCGTACATGTATACTAACACCAAGTCTTAGGTCTCTGTGGAAAAACATTGAAACAGATGGCTATAAGCTATTGTAAACAGGCAGCTTTTATGGAAATTTACCAGCCTGAGTAGTCATAGACCTTGTAAATAGGTAGCCTTGGTGGATAATACCAACTTAGATAAGGACAAGTGAATCATAGGCAGAGTCATAGTGACCTATCCCCTGAACCCTCACCCAGCTGATACCCTGTCCTGAAAAATATCTGTATTCCCCCTGAACACCCATGCTCCAGTGTCATCCCCTTCCCCATGTCCTGCCTTTTTGTGTTTATAACCCCTGTGTGAATGAGTAAAAATTATGATTTGAAAAAAATAAATAAATTATTAAAAAAAAACAAATTCTATAGAATGCTTTTACTAAGGTTTTAACCTACTGTGCTCCAAATCCCTTTAAAAGGAATTGTACAATATTGCTCTGCATTCTGTTGCTTTTTTGTGGTTCAATATAGTCAAGCTTATTTCTTTAAAAATTAAGGTTTTTTTTTTTAAAAATTTTTTAACTGTGTGTGCACACATGCATGCACACATAAGTAGGGGTGTCCATAAAAGTCAGAAGAAGCCATGAAGTGCCCTGTGGCTGGGGTTGCTGGTGGTTGTGAGCCTCCCAGTGTGGATGTGGGAACTGAACCCAGGTCCTCAGCAAAAGCATCTCTCAACTGCTGAGCTGCCTTTCCAGCCCCCTTCTAAATTCTCTGACTGTAAAATGTATTAGACATACCTATAGTTACAAAAACATCATAGAAAAGTCACATAGCATTTTGCCTTATAGATAACAAACAGCAGCAGCTGAGAATCCTCTTATTCAAGTGCTAAGAAATGGAATGTCCCTCCCTGTTTGCTTTCTATTTTGGTTGAATAAGTCATTGTTTTTCTTCATAGCTTTCTTATAGAGTGTGCATCCTTTGCTATCCAAACAAATAAGTAAATAGATTTAAGCAAAAGTTTTGGTAATTTTCTCATTTCCAAAATTTAGCCATTTGCCTTCCAAAATTCAGGAGCCACCAGAACTTGGCATCTGTCATACACCATGATGGCTAAAATGATAACTTAAAATACTCTGGTGTGACATGGGGGAGTTGGAACTTTTTCTTGTCGTCGATGGGAGTGTGAATTGTTGCAGCTACTCTGAAAGGAGTTTGGCAGTTTCTTACAGATGTTGACATTGCTTATGCCTCCTGGGTATTTACTCACACGATGTGAAAACACGTCTTTGTGATAGGGTTTCCCCTTTTAGAGCAAGCAGATTTTGAACTTGCTATGTACTCCAGGCTTGCCTTGAACTCTTGTCTCAACCTCACCAGTACTAAATTTACAAGTGTGTCTCACCTAAAAATAGACGCATCTAATAAAAATAAAGATATTGTGTATTGTTCTGAGCTATATTAGGTAAAGGAGATTCCTTGGCCCAGTATATAGACTTGAGAAAGTTGTGAGTTTGAGAAAATAGATCCAAGAATAGTATTGAATAGTATTGGCCAGGCTAGAGTTGAGGTTGGGAAGGGCATTGGATGGTTCTGTCTAGGACACAGTTTGAAATAAGGGATTGGATATCTGGAGACATTATAGAAAAAGTATAAATGGAAGAGTCATGATGTCCAAGGACTTAACAGGGTACTACAGCTTCCATGTGTTTGTGTGTAAGGCACTCCCTACCTAGTTAAGAGATAACCTTCGTGCTCACACCTCCTGTGATTTTGAGTTTGAAGTTTCCCCCATTGATACATCAAGGAAATTATTTTCACTCCTCCTAGTAGGAACTCCTAAGCAAATTCCTGGATATTCCTTAGGTAAAGTTGGTACAGAAATGCCTGGTACTCCATCTGTGTCTAAGTAGGTTGGGATTGGGAAGGCCCCAAAGGAAATGTACTGAAATAAGAGATGGGTATATTTAGAAGAAGAAGATAAAAGGCAAACCATTCTAACACAATTGCATTCTTAAAAGGTGAGAAATGAGGAACGGCAAGGGTGAGACTTAGCAAACAAATGTTCCTGTAGGGAAATGGATAGAAACCTGGAGAGGGGAGAACAAAGTTAAGGACAAAGTAGAACCCATTATCAGATCATCACCAAGGCTCACTGTCTTGGCACACCTCATTTGCAAGAAGCACAGAACCATGCCTTTGCAGCTCCCTGGCCAGAGGTGTAGATTCTAAGCCAAGAAGGTCACTTCGTTGTCATCTGAACCCCTTCCTCTCTGGATAGTAGATGAGCCTCCTCAGATCTCCTTTCCTGAATAGTAACTGGGTCACAAAGATAATTGAAGCAATAGGCGAGTTGCCCGAGTTCCCAGTTTCCAACCCTATCTTCTCCCCACCTGTCCAGCAGGAGACAGACAGATCCTGGGCAGAATGCCTACCAACTCCATGAAAGCAGCCATATCACACAGCCTCGCCCAGCTGCTACTGACAGCCATTCCAAGATATTCCCCAACACCTGAATGTCCTAAAGAATCTTCCAGGAACTCTGAAGCTAAGTCTCCTCCAAGCTAACTTCAGAAACCCAACTCCTAACATATAGGAGCCCTAAGAGACATCTAATTTCACTTGTTTTTACAGGAGGAAAGCTGAGTCCCAATGACATGATACAATGTGTTAAAAAAAATTCAGAGACAGAACTTAAACTAGAATGCAGATTCCTTACCCAATGCAAACCACTAACGCACAAAATTGTAGTCTCTTGAGTTGCAACACTCCCTTAAATGCCTGATGCGTTTCTCTGAACAAGAAAATCACTTGTGTGGCTTTTTAAAGATACAGTCCCAGGGCACCCTCTTAGGCTTGGACTCAGCAATCTCTGTTTTCAGCAGCTTCCGAGGTTGTCTCTACAGCCTGTCTGCATTTGGAAGCCAACTAAGCCCTGCCACGTTCGTTCTCCCAGCTTCTGCTTTAACAACCTCCAGAGATGAATGTTCTCATCCCTCATCCCATCCTTGGACAAGGTTGACCTTTGAAAATGTCTTCCTTACACTGAATTGAAAGGTCCTTGCGTCCCTATTGCTCCACGTCATTCATCTCCATTCTACCTCCCTCTTCCAACCAAGAAAAGAAGTTCAGGTCTAATCAAAATTATACTCAGCTTCCTCTCCTTTCAAATCTTTTACTGTACAAACAATTTTCAGAAAACATTCCAGGTATGCACATACGTTTTTAAAAAAACATCCCAGCACAATTTGCCCATGTGCATTTCTTTTTTTTAAGATTTATTTATTTATTATATTTATATGAATACATCGTTGCTGTCTTCAGACACACTAGAAGAGGGCATCAGATCCCATTACAGATGGTTGTGAGCCGCCATGTGGTTGCTGGGAATTGAACTCAGGACCTCTGGAAGAGCAGTCGGTGCTCTTAACCACTGAGGCAACTCTCCAGCCCACCCATGTGCATTTCTATCACTTTCTTAGCCTACAAGTTCACTTCTCTGAGCTTGATAGCCATGTGAACATTTTACATATTTTTTCTATTGTACTTATTGGCAAGTGGTTTCGGAGAGGGCGTTTAGGCCTGCAAACTGCCTCTGTGACCTTGAGCTGACTACCACCCTCTTTGGGTCTCCGTTTCCTCATCTGGATTAAGTGTTGTCCAAGGTCCTTCTCACTCTTGACTCCATAGCCAGCCTGGACTGAAAAAAGGCTAGAGCCTCTTCCTGCCAAGTCTCAAAAGATGATACACAAGCCAGTTTGAGCTCCACTGTGACTGCCCTGACCAGTGTGACTTGGGTATCACACCTTCTCTTCCACGTTTGCACTTTTTTATTTTCTGCTTAAAGAAGTTCATTTTAGTAACAACATCCTGAAATATGTCAAGTTGTAATTGTGGAAGGAAAAAAAAGGAGAGCTCTGATGTTCTTGCCCTCCGTGTCATTAAAATCTTGCTCAAAATGTCACATTAATTCATCTCCCTGCATTTCCCCTTGCTTGATTTTTTTTTCTCCTATGAGAAGAAACGCTAAGTTGAATGAAGGACAGCTCATTTTTAAAAGTGAAAATACATCACACAACCAGATAATTGTGTCCTAAAGCTTATTTTTTAAACCTTTCTACACACACACACACACAAATGTTTTACAGTGAGATGAAAATGAATTCCAGATATGTTGTTATTGACTCTGGGATAATGAGCCTGTTTTAAAGAAAGGACCAAAACACTATTGTGGCCACTGGTCCCTGAGGGGTGGATGGATGAGA